GCTAACTGTGCTTTACTTTTACTTAAGTAACATTTCGTGGTATACTTAAGTAAAGTATCTTTATACTTCTTCTACCTTTCTATTGGACTTATTGTCTAAGGCCAGCAGGGGAAACTTCTTTTAACAGTTTAAGCGTTGTTATACAAAAAGGATTCAAAGGTTTTCAGAAGAGGAAAAATCAGAAATTGGAATTAAAAGTGACGTTATTGAGTTGTAGAGATGAAAGGCAGTGTTTGACCCTCCTTCAGTAAGAGCAGCTCTCTGTGCTCCCTCTGCAGTGTTCATTTGATATGTGGGACAAAGAGCCCTTTCTCCAGCCCGCGCCTTTCCCATGCTGAAGAGACATTTCTTTCTGAATATTTATTTACTCTGAGACTACAGGCCAGCTTTTATTGTGCTCCTTCTCCGGGTTTAAAATGAGGTTTGTTTGTCTGTCGCAGTGAGCTCAGAGAAATGACCCGTTCTGCCCAGATTCGGCTGCTTTCCAATATTTCGTTATTATTTATATTATTCTATTTTTCATGTTTTCAATCATGTTCCATGTGACCTTACATTATAATATGTAAAAAAATAATGATAATGGTAAAAATGTGCAGGTTTTGGTGAAATTCATTCCTTGCTCTTTCTTCTGCATAATCTTCACACTTCAATGTGTGTCGTTTTAAACACAAACACAAAATAAAAACTGCTTGAACTCTTTTATCTGCAAGATCATATAAACATTTGTTCACAAAACGTGCAATGCCACAGATCTCACATTGGATTCAAAAGTGAAATGTACTATCACTTGAATTGCCTTGAAAAGTGCTATATAAATAAACTTGCCTTGCCTTGCCTTGCCTTACATTTTTTGCATATTCAGATATTGTGATACGCAGATAAAATACCCTTGGCTCTACTTTGACTCCATAGTCTTTCTGCTTTTAAGAACTCAGGAAAGACAAATCATGATGTGAAATATGTCATGGTCAGAAATAACATTTTAATCAAAGTTAACATTAAGGGTTACTAAATGGAAGGATTGAGCAGAGACAGCTTTCTATGAAAAGTTGCATGCAGCTCTTGTGAAATACCCAAAGGAAATATCGTAGATTAACTGTGAAGTTCCTTTAAACTGGATTTAACAACTTAACCTTTATTGGAAGAAAAAGTACATTCACATCCTCTTTTGCTGTAAGGATATTATCGGCAGCAGTAACATTGTTGTATGGTTATCACATTACAGCTTATTTGGGTACCACATCATTTGTTTTTGATAAGAATCACATTTCCTGTCCCAGCTTAGGCTCATTAAGTAGATGTAGAGCATATTGATATAAGAAATAGATATTATCCAGATGACACAGGAGGTCACTCTAGTCCAAGCACTGCTACTGCCACCTGATGGTGTAAAAAAGAGCTCATGTAGGCTCAATGGACTCTTGTATAGAACACAACCATAGCTTAACTCATGTGCTTTACCTGTTAAATATTTGTAGTTAACATGTTTTAGCTATTTTAAAATTGGGAAAGGAAATATCTTTAATGTCACAAGACATACATTTGTATAATAAGGACTGATTTGTCATTTTTGTTATTACCAGATGGAGCATTTTGGACCTGAATGTGTCTTTTTTCTTAGCCGTAAAAACATACAGAAATGACAGTTATTGACTGTCCTTAGGGCTTGTGTATAATGCATAATAAATTGCGTTTAATAAAGTGCAGGAAGAGGCAGAAAAATCTAAACAAGCAACTAGCAGTTCTGTTTTTTGGCCAAAAGAGGGCGGAAGACCCTCACTCAGTAGCTTTAATGTGTGAAGGCCTGCAGGTTGTGATGCTGGGTAAATGGAGGCAGAGATTGAATGGAGTCAGGATGTGATAATTAAGTATTTTAATGCTATCCTGCCCTTTATCAAATTAAAATGTATTAATTAAAAAGTAAAACATTATTGTAAAAAATGTGAACTGAGAGTGTAAGTATTTTGTGCTGAGTGTGTCCTTGAAATTCCCATTAATAAGAGTCTATAGGAGTGTTTTTAAAGTTTTTCTCTTCTGTGTTTACGACATTAAAACGTACGTAAAAAAAGCCTTCAGCATGATAATCTCTCCCTAATCATATATATATTGTTCTTTTGTAAAACTTTTTTTTTGAATGAGGAATTAGTAGTGTGTTATTGTTAAGTGTACATTTAACATAATACAAGAATAATAGGATCCTGATATTTAAAAATGGACAGTAATTACTAATTAGTCATGTGAACTTGACTTAGTACAAATATTGGTATTGCTACTTTAAATGATTATCATAAGATTGCCACTTTGAATTATTATCATACAATTATTATTACCATTACTACTATTAATAATAATTATTACAATAATAATAATAATTACATATTTATTTAATCTCTGCATTGTTTTAACAGAAGGCCTAATTAGTGCAGTGATTTCCAGCATCAGTCGTCGTTACTCTGTCTATCTGTCTCTGTGTGTGTGTGTGTGTGTGTGTGTGTGTGTGTGTGTGTGTGTGTGTGTGTGTATGTATGTGTGTGTGTGTGTGTGTGTGTGTGTGTGTGTGTGTGTGTGTGTGTGTGTGTGTCTGTCTGTCTGTCTGTCTGTTTGTCCGGCTCTCGTGAAGCCCACGAGCGTCATGGAGCAGAAGTGAGGGGCCCGGGGTAGAGAGTCCCGGGGCCACTGCTGCTGGCCAATGAGAGGCAAGAATGCAAACACATTACAAAACTGAGCTGTGTCAAGCTGCAGAGAAACAGCCTGATCTAAACCCGGAAACGTTGAGTTGATCCTTTCAAAAATAAAAGGGACATTCTGGTCCCAAAGATGATGCATACATATTTGATTTGCAGTATCAAAAAGTAGATATGTAAGAACACGTTCCACATCCAGTGGAAATCAATGGCTTTCAGTCATTCTAGGCTATAATAAACCAACTTTTTTGTATGGTTTCAGACTTTAAAACCAATAAAAGACACACTGTTGAATTATAAGTGTTGCATTTCTGCAATAGAGCTCATCTGTAGAGAAATATACTGTATATTTTTATTTAGGTGTTGCAAATGCATCAAATTATTGATTATTATTGTCATAATAATATTTCACTTCATAATAAAAAAAAGAAAATGTATTCAGAGTTAATATAAGTAATGCATTGTGTACAATTTGAATATGTATAGCTATGTCTACGGCACTTAAATCTGTCTATTATTATAATCCTGTATTTGTATGAATCATTATTTTATTTTAAAAACTCAATGAACATATTGCCGGAAAAAAAAAAAAGTGCCATCACAAAGCTAACCAAAATTGAGATACATTATTTGCAATGGACATGGTTTTGTTATGTTTTTATTTATTTACAGCAACTACAGGGCAAGTGCAGACAAATACAGTGCCACGAATACAAAGGGTATTTACATAAAGACAAAAAACAAATGAAAAAATACCAAACAAAGATAAAACTGAGTAATACGCTACAATATGTTTCACACGAGTATGTGTGAATGTGAATTACTTTGACATGTGTAGTTAGATTGTTAAAGCATTTTCAAATTGGAGTTTTATTTCGAAAAGTTGTACCGGAAGTAGTGTTGTCGGAACAGTCTGCAGCCTCGCGGTCGGCGCTGAGAGCCGGAGGGCGGCGGTCAGGGCAGGCAGTGAAAGTGAAGGCGGAGACCAGCCCAGTGCCGAAAACTCAGCCTCTTCTGGATCCCGTTCAACTTCACTGAACAACCCCAATACCGATCCAAAAAAGTGAGCCGTGAAGAGGAAGGAAGACCAGAAAAAAAGAGAAAAAAAACTCTCGCTGCTCCCAACTTCTGTTCACCGCTATCTGCAAAGAATTGTCTTCCGGTGTTGACTTTTTTTTGTTGCGCGATCCGTGCAAGAGAAAAAGCCTCCCAAGCACAAAGTTGAACGTGAGAAATGTGAAGCTAACGGCTTGTGTTTTCAACTAGGCTCCAGGATTCCCTATTAATCCATGCAGTACAGTGCAATGGTACGTGAACATGGATTATTATTGCTTTTAAATGTTGTTATGATGCCATGTGTGATAATGTCCTGCCCTCGTTCAGAACAGTGGGTCAGACCACAACACTGGCACTGCAGGGACAAAACCGTAAAGTTGGCACAGATTCTGTGGCAGGCTATGTTAACATCACATTCCCCCTTAATTTGGCAAATGAACTCTATGTGGACTGGTGACAGCTCACACACACGCACACACACACACGCACACACACACACACACACACACACACACACACACACACACACACACACACACACACACACACACACACACACACACACACACACACACACACACACACACACACACACAAGCCACAAAGTAACAATGTTTAACCTCCAGTCCTTTCAGCATGGGTGCAGTTTAGTTATGAGTGTTTACCAACTGTCCATAAAAAGGTGTTCAGGTAGTTATTTGGCACACTGAGTTGCCACTATAAAAGGACAAAAAATAAATAATTCAAAATATATTGTCTTTATTATCTAAAAGTTAGAAGCTTAGCATTCCTATGTAATTCTGTAGTTTAAAAAATAAAATAAAATATTCAATTGGCTGTCTTTAAAACACTTGTATTCCCATAATATTCCCATTACATTTGCCTGATCCTTTACACATCAGTGACATGTATCTTATGGTTTATTTCAATAACTTCTCACAGCATTTTAATGTGAGTTCATGTTGGTTGCAATGTCACTGACAGAGTTCAAAGTTATATATCATGGAAAATGGAAAAGAGTTGTTGTTGACGCGGGGCTGCGGAGGAAAATGTCCCTTTTCCGTTTTAACCGAGGCTGTGGTCCAAAGTCCCCAAAGAACAAAACATTATGTGGAGTGAATGAGCAGATGAACTGTATGGTGTGTTTTCAGATAGCTTAAGAGAAGAAGAAGGTGCTGGCTGGCGGATAGGGGTTGTGTGTTTGAAGAAGGAGGAGGAGTGTGACTGTAATTACGTGGGAAAAAAAAAAAAGAAGTTGGGTCTGATTTGCTGGAATCGCGCAGGACCGAAGGTGCACCGGTCGATTTCATATCAAGTTTGGTTAAAGCTGGGGTGAACATCACACACTGGGCGCCCTCTGAAAGCTTCCCACAATGCTTTTATGAACGAGATATCACAGCAGCAGCGAGCAGCCCCGTGTATAGAGGAGTACGCAGCGGCACCGTGTGCACCCGCTCCACGAGAACAATCCGTTCACCGTGCGACAACTTTTAAAACATAATAACCTCCTGCGTGAAACATCTTCATTTTCTCTGCGGAGACGACAATCTTTGGATCGCACACTTTTCATGGATGTTCTTGGATAATCTCTCGTTGATTTACGCGGATAGCTGCTCCACAGTCTTGCATGGTGCACATCGGTCCAGGAATGGCGCGATAAAGTGATCAGAGGAATCAGTCCAAGTACATTCACCTCTTGTGTAGCCGTCTCGTCATGTATTCTCCGATTTGTCTTACTCAGGTATTTGTGTCTTTTGTTTTATACATTTAACTGCTTTAATCTGCATATTTGTAATAACATTTTTACAGGCGGTGGTAAGGGAATTCAAAGTTCTGTGCATGCGTCAGGATTAATACTTTTTATAATTTAAATCCACAATTATCCTGGGAGTGGAAATATAGCGTAAGAACTAACCATCATGTAATATGTTAATCCAATATGTGCCACAATTGGGGTATTTTTTTAAACTTTCTAGTTCTTGGATTTCAACAAAACCCCTATCGAAAATCATTTAATAGTTTTTGGCACTTACAAAGTTATTATAGGGCCAATCTTAACGCGCTCTTTGTGTGCGTAAAGTTATGCGTAAAAAGGATTATTTACGATAGCACTCCAAGACTGTCATTTTAACAGTCCTGGCTAATTGGTGCAGGTATGCTCGTTTTCGTAATTAGGTTATTTGCGTCCTCCAATAACCTCACACACTCCTCCCAGCCTAGCTTGAACTGCGTGTATATTTAGTTTTCCACGTGTGTATTTCTATTTAGAGCAAAACCCCTATACTTTAGGGAAGTGGAGTTGGAGATAAAGCCACTTTCACTGCAGGAAGATCAGACCATGATAAGGTTGATTCAGCGTTGGACAGAGTAGCTGACTGTTTTGGCTGACTCAGTTTTACTGTTTATATTTTACTTGGCATAAGTAAGTGATTGACTGAGATGTGGTTTAGTTTGTACTTAAGAGGATTGTGCTTTTATGGCCCCAGCTGAAGTGCACTGCATAGGCCTCGGCCAAGTCATTTATCTTTACAGCATTTGGCTTTAGCTGGCTCAAAAAATTAACAGAATATTTTAAGTGTTTTTCAACAGGAAACCAGGAGTGCTAAAGAGTTCAGAAACATTTGCCGTCCAGCCTGTTTTTGTCAGTTTAATTGGCAAAATTATAGCGAGGAGATGACATTTTAAGGAGTATCTCAATTTATTTCCATTTATTTTGACCTCTGTAAAACACTTAATAACAACCATAGTAAATAAAAACATTTTAGAACTATATGTTGATAATTAAATATGTATTCACAGTGTAAACTTAATTATTATACTTGACTTTACTCCACTGGAGAAGAGTTTTATTTGCCCGAAAGTGTGTGGCTTGTGAGGAGAGCAGCGGCAGGCGCTCATAAGGAGGGAGAGGGTTTCTGTGGTTTCCTATACAGCCTGCCTGACTGGCTGCCCCACAAAAAGAACAATATGTGGTTTAACTCTTCAAACGCCTCCTCAAAAGGGTCTGCTTACACTTTCCAATTTGACATTTTAATACCGTCAAATCCCAGATAAGTTAATGTTTCCACTTGTCACTCAAGCTGCTGTAATTTGTAATGACCTAACCCTAAATCATCCACAGCGTCCTGTACATTCCTCTATTTACACAAAACAAGCATTAAGAGATTATTATAATATATTTGAGACTTAAAGCCTGTAGGCCAGTGGACCGCTGTTGAATTGTTGGTGTGCAGCTTTTTTAGGATCATGAGAGATTCTCTCAAATGTGAAAAAATAAATTGTTTTATTAATATTTTCTGTCGATTTTGTTTAAAATGAAAGATAATATGGTATTAAGTGTACTACGGCATGATGCAAAGTACATAGACAAATTCAAATAGAACAAAACATTAAAAAAAGTGTTGAAAATATTTCCACTAATATTAATCTAAATCTCTGATAATTTAACGGTAACAAAACAAAGTCAAAGTCGTGTGATAGTCAAATTGAACCTTTTTTAAATTTAAAATAAAATAAAAAGATACAAGAATATAATTTTTCTTCTGAAACCCCAGGGCCTTGGCTTATTTTTTCTATAAAAAACATTCAAAAGAAAGAAATATAATTTAGTACTCTTTGCTAAAATGCCCCCACATAGTTATGTCCTCAAACAATGATTGGGTCAGTTGGACCTGCATACAACACAGAAACACACAGAAAACGCACACACACGCGCACACAAAAGATATGTTGAACATTTGAAAGTAGGCCATGATTTTAATACGACTGACTCAGGTTTTGGAATGAAGCTGGGCCATTCTGCGTGTGAACCTCAACACTTTGGCACGAACTTGAAGTCCTAACTCAAATACCTTTCACACAATCCCTTCATTTCATACGCCGCCTTTCTTCTCTGCTAGTATTTTTGAATGTATTTTGAATTAGCAGCCTGCTTGTATGTTCCAGGAGAAAGGGAATCTCCTTAACTTCCTATTTTCTGACTGCACCCCATGACCCTGCAACTTATCCTGCCTCCTTCGTATAGTTCACAATGGAATGTGGATAGTTTGATAAGAGAAATGCATCAGCGAGGGGGGGCCTGTAGCAGCAGCAGCAGCGTGCTCGGGAAATGAGAGCGGAGACGTGCATTCAGTCAGCGGGCCTACTGCTATTGTAGTGCTGGCAGTTGATATAAACAGTGGAATGTGCCTGTCATACCTGCTGTACGCCTAGATACATCCACGATGGTGAAACCAGTGTTGCATTGTGAAGGGAAACTTCTCTTAAAACTGTTCCAACTGCCAATATTATTTCATGTGACTGATTATGAGACATTGTTTATTTGTGGTCTGTGTTGCCTTCTGCCTCAGATTAGTAGCTGACTGAATCCATATTTCTTCTGTGTGTTTAATGGCATGAGTTTCTGATTACATTTCTCTGTTTCTCTCTCCTCACTACAGGATGAATTTCATCCCTTCATCGAGGCTCTTCTCCCTCACGTCCGTGCCATAGCCTACACGTGGTTCAACCTCCAGGCCAGAAAACGCAAGTACTTCAAGAAGCACGAGAAGAGGATGTCCAAGGACGAGGAGCGCGCGGTGAAGGACGAGCTTCTGGGCGAGAAGCCTGAGGTAAAGCAGAAATGGGCGTCCAGGCTGCTGGCCAAGCTGCGTAAGGACATTCGGCAGGAGTACCGAGAGGACTTTGTCCTCAGTGTGACGGGCAAGAAGCACCCATGCTGCGTGCAGTCCAACCCGGACCAGAAGGGCAAGATCCGCCGGATCGACTGCTTGAGGCAGGCCGACAAAGTCTGGCGTCTGGACCTGGTGATGGTCATCCTCTTCAAAGGCATCCCTCTGGAAAGTACAGACGGGGAGCGCCTCGTCAAGTCTCAACATTGCACCAACCCCACACTTTGTGTCCAGCCGCACCACATTACAGTATCGGTCAAGGAGCTGGACTTGTTTCTAGCATACTATGTCCAGGACCAAGGTAGGTTCAAGCTCACTCTATCTGTTTCACTGTGTGTGTGAGAGCTAATGCGCATGTGTAAATGATGGCTTGGCAAGGTCAGGGGTCACATGTGTTACTTTTTGGCAGTCTCACTGAGGCTGGCTGAAATCACCACTACGTTCGCCAGACAAATAAACATGAGGAACTCGATAGTCCGTACTGTATATACTACGCAGCATACATTTTAATACGGCTCAAGTGTGACTCATTGCTAAACAAAAAGGCAATCTGTGATACGTTTTAAAAAACATGTTTTAAATGTACATTTGCTCCGCTGTACTCTGGCAGTTTGCATTACCATTACAGACAGACAGACAGACAGACACACACACACACACACACACACACACACACACACACACACACACACACACACACACACACACACACACACACACACACACACACACACACACACACACACACACACACACACACACACACACACACACACACACACACACACACTGTACACCTATTTGTTAGGATATTAAATAAGTAGTGACAAATGTGTGAAGTTGCAGTACACTTTGTTAAATTAAAAATCAACCCACCAGTAACACAGGATATGTATAAACCCTTTGTTATTCATGTCCTCGTGTGCATATTTTACTGTTAAAAAAAAATCCCCTTAGTCACTATTATATAATGTAAAATTATGTAATTTTAAAACTTGTCTGTTTTCAATCAAAAATCACATAACGATTTTGGTTTAAAATGAGGTTCCCATGATTTAAAACATGTAGTCATTCTAGCTACACAATTATATTAATAAACATATTGCTGATAATAGGTCCCATTACAGATTAGCATTTAAGATATATAAATACAGTGAAGCTTTAGGCTTCTTTAAATATTTGCAATAGATTTGGGATCATAAAATATGTTGTTTTATTATAAGTCATGCCTGTGATGTGTGATCGTGTTTGTGCTGAAATCTGTCTTTTCCTAATTCCTGAAAAGCTGGTTACTTTTACATGAAAGCCTTTCCGGACACAGTGATTTTCTCTGTGTGAAGGCTGAATCCTGCATGGTGGTAAATAAGAGGTTGTGTTGCCAGGTGCTGGATTAGGTTTACGTGCATGTTATTTAAAATGAATGTGTTAAAACGCTTTTCTTCCTCTACAAATGAGCACAAAAAATACAAAAATCGATATATATAATACTAGAATTTACTGAAACATTTGAGATAATGTCCAACCCTCAATTAAAAGCCTAAATGTATTGCATGGAAGAAATACATTTTGAATTTTTACAGACCTGAATCTGATATTCCATACTACATTTAAATTGAAGGGGAGAGTAATTAAGGACAAAGAGCAGAACATGTTTGGATCTAAATGTACAAATCAATGCTATTTTTATTCTTATTTGGCCACCAGATACATCAATTTTGTGTTGTTACTCTTGACGTGGTATATTACTACAATTCAGTAATATATGTCCCTAACGGTAACGGTAACCATTGGCACTATAGGAATCCACAATGTAGTATTCACTGAGAAATTCCCCAGTTTTAAATCTATTGCAGTGACCCTGAAAAAGCACCAATACTTTGCTATTGAGGGAGGAATGGTGGTATAGCTAGCTCATTATCATCAAACCCTGAGCGCCATTTTGTGTTTGATAAGTGCCAGGGAAAGCAGAAGGCACAGCACACAGACAATAATGGTTGCCACTGGCACCGGGGTTGGCATCAGACCCTCTTTTGTGTCTTTTGTAGGATGCCACCGCTTCTCTAGCTTGCATCTGCTGCATTTTGAACCGTTCAGTAGCAAGTTGAGAATGGTTCTTTAGTGCTGTTTTTAGATAATGTACTACATTTAAATGATAGTGCCTGTTTTTTACATTATGGAAGGTTTTTCACCAGCTTCCTTTTTTAAGAAAAATGTGTCCACGATGAAGGGAGAGCAAATTATAGAAGATCAATTTAAGTGTTTGAAATAAACGGTGAATGTTCTCTTTCGCCGGAAAAAAAAAGTCCCTCGATTCAATATCGCATTGTGAATCCGAGCGATTATTTCCCGTTGTCCCCGAAATGTCTGTGTTGATACTTTGGCAAATACAAAATGGCATTCTTTCACCGGGATCACAAAGACCCTTTTGCTTTTCTTTCGATTTAGCGACCTATGGCGTCTTTTCCTTTCTTCAAGTTACCAAGCAGTGCCCATCACCAGACAATGCAGCCATATTGTGGTACCGTGTGGTGCGGCGCCATTTTGTTTTGCACTGTGCCAGGGAGGCAGGCAAATCACCAGTAATGGTTGTTAGAGGTTTGGAGGTTGGCATGAAACCCTCTTTGTCTGCTTGCAGCATGCCTTTGATTCGTTGGTTGGCATCCGCAATGCAGTGGGCACGTTGGAAAGTTTTTTGACCGTCGCAGAATGGAAGCCGCTACCTTTGTTCTGCTGCAACTGCACGAAACAATCAAATGCACAAAAAAGTAGCAAATGGCTCGGCTGAAACAGAATCTGGCATTCGACCGAACTGCTAGAAAAAAAATAGGTCCGAACGAATGTTGTTCTTTCTGTCCTGGCATCGACTTACTTTTGCTCTAATTTGAAAAACGAAATATGTTGCTCCCTTTATTTACACACCTGTGTTTATTCTGGTCTTTTTTTGGGGTACAAATCCATAAGTTCAGAGTGCATTTGTTTTGTATTCTGGTGGGTTGCTGCCTGAGAAAGGTCGGCGGGTTGGCAGCGAGTGTGCTGGGTGAATTTAGAGAGGGCACTCAGCCCCCTTGTTCTGGGGCACAGACGCGTTTAGCCAGGCTGGGCTGTAGCACCCATGTGCATGCCCAGATGAATGCCCGCTGGGAAGTAGGCTGGGGGCTAGGAGTGGGGGTTGTGGTATCCATTGTGCCAACTGGCAGGCCGTGTTCAATACAGGGCCCTGGCTTCTCACACACACACGGCTGTTGTCCTCCAATGTTTTAATCGTTATCTGATACAACAAGAAGTGCATTTTCCTTTTCTTTGAATCACCTCCTCTCCGCACCTGGATTTATATTTTGCATATCCAGTTTGACAGCTTGATGGAATATTTGTAACGAGGCATGTAGATAATGGTCATGCTAGGGCACGTCGGGAAAGTCTAGGTCTTGTTTGTATTTGACTTTGTTGAGCTGCTCATCGCTATTTCCTCAAAAGATAGGAATGTATTTAACATGGTCAATGAAAACCCTCGCCTCTGAACATTGAAATGTCTGGAATTAATAATAAAAACATATACAAAATAATTCTGATAAGCAATCCTAACTGAACATTTTGGAGGAATTTTGGATAATGTTACGTTTATGTAAATGTTAAAGTTTTGTGCCTTCTAACCAACATTTTTAATGTATTTTGCAATATTTTCATTAAAAAAGGTAGGAAATGTATAGTAGAAATTAGAAATGACTACAAAAAAGTGTGAAAGTAACCAGAAACAGAAGAGAATAGCTGAGGTAGTCAAATAGGAGACTAAATAAGTAAAGGTCAAGCAGCTTACCCAATACTTACTGCTGAAAGTTAACACAGCCATAAAACATCATTACCTTGACACCCCCCCCCCCCAGTAACGCCACTTTTTTTCACGGTGTCATGATAGTTTGTGCAAATGGATGGATTACCTCTGAAAACACGCTGCCATGTTAATGGAGACCTTGTTTTACTAGCGGCAGACTTAACCTCTGACCCCCGGGTCGTGACCTTTTCAAAGAGATGTGGCAGGGTATCCTCTGAAGTTTAATTGAGCACATCAGATCAGTGAAAACATGGCGTTGTGGGCCTGCGGCACGAGGAGGAGGAAGACTTTTTTGCCCTGGGGGGGAGTGGTAGCTGGGGAAGCTGCTCATAAGCCCCCCTGGTTGGCCTCCTAGATCGGGGTCAAACCGTGGCGGTCGCAGGATCACTGGTGGTCTTTTGGCAACTGTTTGAACCCTGCTCCTGCTTCTGGTCTGGCTGGTGGTCCCTTGGTTGACTGGCCTAAGTGAGGGGGAGTAGGTACCAGTGACACCCCCCTGTCCAATCCCTCAGGCACGGTCGTCTGGCTGATCTCTAAGGCCGAGCATCGCCTGCTTGCCATGCTGCGTGGGGTCGCTTCTTGCATCTTGTTTTCCGCCCTGCTGCCTCAGAGGCTTTGGTCAGGCGGCCAGTGTGGAGACCTGACCTTCTGGGTCACAGTGGAGGTCTGTGACTAAGCACAACATCCATCCCTCCCTCCCCTCATCCCCCTTATCGTCCTCTGCCATCAGGAATCACCCCTGCGGCAGACTGCCCGGCCAAATGACTCCTTCTCTCTCCCTTTTTTCTTTTCCTCACTCCCCGGCTTCCCCTCGAGCCCGAGACTCCGACCATGACAGCTGTCCCGGGCCCAGGCACTTGGCCAGAGAGAGGGTGGCTGGGTTCGGGCCAGAAGTGTGAATAAAAAGTGGTTGCAAGCAGACAGCGTTAAGATCACTTCTGTTTGTCTTCTTTTTTTTGGGTTAAGTCAAGTAATTCAGCTGCCCTTTTAATTTTAAGTGAGATGAAACTGGAAAAAGTCTCGGGACTGAGTGCATTTTTTTACTACTGGACGTGAATTTCAACAGTGAACATTCAGAACAAAAAATCAGCAAGACCGTAAAATACAGCTCCTGGGAAAAACTTTAACCGATGACTCCAGAGCCATATAGAAAAACTCTCCAGATTGAACTGCACAACCCTGAGCTCTGCTTCCATCCTGGCTTCCTTATTAGTATGCAATACAGCCTGCGGTGTCTGGCTACCTCTCTGTCAGAGCCATAACCTATCGAACACATTCTCTCAATCTAATCCACTTAGAACTCCCTCCCAGCTTCACCGCTTGCCTTATTGATTTCCGCTTCCCACTAAATGTCCTCCCGATCCTTTTTCTCTTAACCCAGCAGCTATTTATATTTTGCAGTGGTCTTTCTTTCTCTCCTTCTTGCTTCTTGCTTGCTTGCCTGCCTCTTGCTTCTTTCTTTCTTTCTGTCT